TTGACATTTGTTGGTTAGCACTAGAGTTGACTCTGTCAATGTGGACTGAAGCTGTTCAGTTAGAATATCGTCTGTTCCTGGTGATTTATTTTTCACTATTTCTCTTATTGCAGAAATATCTATATATTTTTTCATATATAAACCTCTATCTTTGTTTTTTGCCCATATATTTATTGAGTTTATCTTAATAAAAAGTAAAAACACTACACTCCTGATAAATGCCAAAGCAGTAACAACACCATCAATCCACATCCATCTATAAAAACTCCCAATTATATTATGAGCAATGTAATATATAATATCACATTGTATCTTTAAGGAGCCCCAGTGGTGCAGTGGTTAAATGCCAGTGCTGCAGCCACACAGCCAAAAGGTTGTGAGTTCAATCCCAGGGACTCCAAGGTCCACTCATTCTTTCGTCCTTCTGTAGGTGGCTAAAATGAGTATCTAGCTTGTTGGGAAATTAGCTTATACATTGTAAACTGCTTAGAGAGTGCTTAAATGCACTGATAGGCAGTATAAAAATGTACTTGCTATTGCTATTTTCCAAATAAACAATCTTCCATATGAGAGGTTATAATAAGGTTTCAATTATCACCTTTAAATTTTTTTGACAGAAAGTTTGTTTTGATTTGTAGTTGTTAACTTATCTCTGCATAGTCACTAGCCAGATTTACACATTTTCCCCAGTGTTTCTTGACCCTCCAAATACCTGAGAATGTAGAAGTCTGCAGAGTGCGCCTTACGAGGGAGTATCATAAAGTAATAATTATCACCCAAGAGGTGTTATGGTATATTGATGAAATTTTGTCAATGTCAACTTTGGTCCCTAAGTTCATGATGTTGAGAAAATCAGCTCATTGTGTCTTTTATTTTTGTGCCAGAAGTGACTGGTGGTGCAGTGGTTGAATGCCTGTCCTGCAGCCACTCACTCATAGACCACAAGGTTGCGAGTTCAATACTAGCCAGGGCTCAGGCTTGACTCAAGCCTGCATACTTTCAAGGTCGCTAAAATGAGTACCCAGCTGTTGGGGGGCAATGAGCTTACAGTTGTAAACCACTTAGACACTCTATAGCATGGTATGAAGTGGTATATAAATGAAGCTGCTTTGCTTTGCTTTAAAGCGGAAGATCCTCATAAGGCTCAATCTTCAGACTTCTGCAATAATGGTATTCAGAGGGTCAAGAAATGCTGGGAAGAATGTGTAAATCTGGATGGTGACTATGTAGAGGTAAGTTAACAACTCCAAATCAAAACAAACTTTCTGTCAAATTTTGTTAAGGTGGTAATTAAAACTTTACAATACCCTCTTGCACATTCATTCCATAAAACTCAAATGAATTCTTAATTCCCTCTATTTGAGTTCTTCATTGAAATTATTGGAGGTTTGCAAACAGAAGCTGGGTGGCAGTCTCTTGAGAGTGCTTGCATTGTGTCTTCCTGCGTGGCATAATGGAGTTGGACTGAATACCCCTTGGGGTCTCTGTTAGGAAGGATCTAATTAGAGGAATTTATAATTAGCTCAAATATG